GATAGATTCTCAGAGCAATTCGTATTAGGGAAAGTGTCCTTCAGCTGACAGCAAAATTCAGTCAGAGACACAGCATGGGAAACCATCACTTCAACGTACATGCTAAGAATTTTGTAGATCACAATTACGAGCAGTTTTGTAAATTTTAGCGATACTCTAAATGTGGGGGGCCCGGGCACGAGGTGGCGTGGTGATGCCCCTGTTGCCCCGCCCTTAATCCGCTAGTGCCCCTTGCCACCCTCCCGCAGGCTACGGCCCTTGGAGTGTATAATATAGATATAACTTTATATTATACATTCCTGATAATACATGACAAAACTTCCTTTGCTTGTGTACGTGGGCGCGTGCGTGTGTCAAAAATTAAAACTTCGCCATCAGCCAGAGTTTGAACTGAAAATTTGAGAACTGATTTCTAAGAACAGACCATTATATTGTGCGTGGACCCCGCGTTGATCAATAGGCCCAATAGTATTTCCTAAGTGGAAATAAGTATGCGAAATAAGTGAAGGCATGAGTGATTTAAATAATGTGTAAAGTGAGAGACCTCAAATACAGATAGATGACCAAACGTATAATAATATAAAATAGAGTAATACACAAAATATTTTTATTATCCGACATATATATATACATATAAGTCATATATTCATATAAATATGTCAAATCAAGAGGAATCGGTCGTCTTTTAAGCTAATCAAATATTCCAATATTATTCGTATAGGTATAGTAACTTTATATTATTTAACCCGGAAAATTGCATTACCGGCTTTCATATACACAAATAACTAAGCCACACAGCGCGGAAATAAAAATATACGTATCAATGACGTACGTAATATATATATATAGCAAGAGTAAAAGAGAGAGAGAGAGAGCGCGATTAACTGTAAAATAGAAATGTAAAATAATTATTTTTTTTATTGAAACACCGTATTTCGATATTTTTTAATAGCTTCTACGTCTTCATTTGTGTCAATCCGTGTGTGTCTTATTTGTAGCTGTGTGTTCGTGTGCGTTGGGCGTGGGCGTGTGCGTGTGTGCGTGTTCTCAGCATTTTTGAGTGATGCTATATAAGCTCGATGTCCTGTCCAGCGCAGCAAAACGTGAAACCAGGCCAAATAGTGCCGTCCTTCCTTGCGGTGGTTGTGTCGTAGTAGTTGGAACCTGTTGCTTTATCCACCTGTAAGCCTGCGGGACGCTCACATACACCGCGAGGTGACTGTTGTCCGGACAGCCCGCTTTCCCACCCTGAACGACCCCCACCTGCTGATATTTGCCTTGTCTCCGTTGCACAAAGTCACCAGAATCACCATAGCAGAGCGGTATGGCGTACAGTCCGTAGCTTTGCCTGCCAGCGCACAGCTGCTCGGAAGAAACAGGAATACCCTCGGCTATACACTGGGACTTGTCAGCTCGATCCGCGAATCTCTCAGAAACGTGCAGCGTATCGCAACCTACGCCTATTGAACCGTTGTTCGGAATCGATCTGACGCCCATCCGGTGACCGTAGCTAAGCCTGGATATCGTACGGTTCACGCTTTGCCTAGATCGCACGGGCTTCACATTGCGTTAAGGTTTGAAGCTCGCACTAAGCTCGTGAGAATGACGAGGATCCGCACAAACGGAGTGGAAAAATGAAGCGGAGCGACCTTTCTCGTGCTGCTCGCTGCCGTCAGCGAGCAGAACGCTGAGTGCTCTCCCATCGACGAACGGCCGATGCATTGCTAGGGCTCGGCGGACCTTGAACGGCAATGCCTTCGCGCGTGAGCACGTGACACGGTTGATGAGCGGATCCGCCACAGGGGCGTCTGCCTTCGTTTAACACCAGAGCCTCCATAGCCACGTCCGCCTTCTTGTATGGAGCCGCCGTGAAGCCTAATAAGAAGTGAAACATTTAATAATTAGAAACGTGTTAGGTGTTGCTTTCACGCCGAGATGCGTCGGCAATTCCCGATCTTTAAGTTGCCTTTCCTAAATTGTTACCCTGCTCAAGCGTATTATACGTAATACTGCATGCTTTAGCAAACTTATTATGCTAAACAGAATTTTACCTAGCCAATAAGGATCATCGATATTAAATTAAAATGACTAAAGATGCAGAAGCATAAAACTTCGTATATCTATTTTCATAAGGCAAGGTAGATTATTTACTCGAATGACGCCCATGGATAGCTATTCGAAGGCAAATCTCTGCATTTAGCGCGGCCTGTGAACGAATATAAACCAAGAAGAAAAGACATGAAAATCTACATTAGCAATACATGAAAGCACACGGATTAGCGTACAGTTTAGAAAGAGCCTTATATGTAAAATTGTGTTCGCTAACAAAATTAATAATTTTTGGAGCTCCAAAGCTAATTCCCACCGTCGTCATTGAAAATATCTGCATTAACATGAATATATAAAATCACTGCCTAAACGTTGAGATATAGTAATAGCAAATGGTTTAATGCCCAACGGCTCCGTAGACTTTACAAATTAACAGTTTAAAGAAATAAGTAAATAAACAACATAAATAAATATATATATATATATATATATATGATAATATATGATAATATATATATATTTATATAAATATATAGTAATTTACATATACATTTAAATATATTCCATTTTGTGGATTCATTCAAAGAAATGTTAAAGTAATACTATAAACCTAGCTATCTATAATATGTTCATGAGTACCGGTATGTATAATATGTCGATGACAATAGGCACCTATATGTTACCTTAACAACTGCACAAGAACAATTAGCGCGATCCAAGCGCCACTCGCGGTCCGACGGCGGTCTACCGACCTAAACATATTCAAGTAGGTCAATAAATATCCAAAGCCTTTGCTGGTTTTCAGTCACGATTCACACCGTGCTGTGTGTTATTTATATTATTGTTAACTGCTGAAGTCACCCTATCGATATATCTCCTATACACCACGAGGAGAAAACACGTTGATATGTCACTGTGAAATCAACGTTTGGAGTTTCTCGCGGAGCAGAGCTATCCGTCAAACTTGCAGCGTGACGGCACTCCGTCTACAGAATGTACGACAACGATTGACTAGTTCCGGTTATATTCATTCAAAGCGTGAAGGTCCCTAGAAATCCAGGCATGTCCTGTGTTCCGTGACGGATTGCGGATTTACTATCAGCCCGAAAAAACTTTTGCGGAAACTGTCACGAACCGTCTCGACGCATTGGCCGTCGGTAAGTTCCGCAATGGCTCGCCATACTGCGTGACCGAATACTCCCACACGACCGTCGACAACTACGAACCATCCATCGCTTAGTTCCGAGAACGGACGTTGAAAATAGTGCTGGCATGCCTTAAAATTTGTTCTAAATTTGTTCAGAGGAAACACGGCAAACAGAGAAACAGTGACTTTTTTAGCTAGAATTCTCACATGGAATTCGACAAGAGAACTTTTAATTTGTCCCTTCATAATAAAAATGATTAAAATGATTAAATTCATTATAAACTGTTTATGAACCCGATTTTATCGTATCTCGATAACATAAAGCGATGTCGCAATACAGGAGCTAACCAATTTTGTTCCGGGAGGGAGGCAAAGTTACGTGCGTGGTGTATTCTGTGAATGTGACCGCCATCATCCACGTACTGTATCTATACTTCTCTTGGGGCGTGGCAACTGCCCCTCCCCCTTGGCCCCTATACGCTAGCTTGGCCCCTGCGATAAGTGTGCAGCCATGGAATTCTTGTTCATCGTTCATATGATTTGCCTAAAAACAAATGATTCTGTGTAAGAGAGCGAGCGTATCGCCGTAATAGTAAAGTTAATTACTGTGAAAAGTGATTAAAATCGAAAAACATATAGGAAATCTAAAACGAAATGTGTAAGATTGAGTAATGTGCAAAATGCTTTTATTTTTAAATACTTAAATTTATATAATCCTGCAAACCCGCCTACAGTTGGCCATATTCTAATGCACTATAAAAACTTTTGGTAATGCAGCGAGTGAAACGTCAATGAGTCATACACCACGAGATCGATCATGTCATAAACAAAGCTTTTACATACATATCACATATCTTACTATAAACTGGGGATTTCCTGTGTGTGTGTGTGTGTGTGTGTGTATGTGTGTTTCCGGCTATACGTTTCCGCACCGCTCAACGGATCCTCTCCAAACTTGGTACGAACATTCTACAGATCATGACACGTTGTATAGGCTATTTATTTTTTTTCAGTTTCATTTTTTTCACATTCCACGTTCAAAAACATAAAAATAGTGCGAAATTAATGCACCAAGCGCGGTGCAACGTCACAACACGAAAACACAATGGCAACGTAAAAAAAAACAATGTATAACCAAAGGCGCTCCATAACCATCTAATCTAACCAGAGAAATGTTATACATTGTTTTTACATTGTTTCTTGCATTGGTTAAAAAATTGTTATAACAAGTGCCAAGCTAATGCCACCAAAGTATACATCAGAAGTTTCTTGACAGCGGGCGACTTTCTTGCGGGCGGTATCTTGTCGATGCTTAATATCATAATATTATACACAGAAAACCTTACCTGCTTGTGTGTGTGTGTGTGTGTGTGTGTGTGTGTGTGTGTGTGTGTGTGTGTGTGTGTGTGTGTGTGTGTGTGTGTGTGTGTGTGTGTGTGTGTGTGTGTGTGTGTGTGTGTGTGTGTGTGTGTGTGTGTGTGTGTGTGTGTGTGTGTGTGTGTGCGCGCGGTGTTTTGTTTTGTGGTGTGTGTGTGTGGTGTATGTGTGTATGTGTAGTGTGTGTATGTGTATGTGTATGTGGGTGTGTGTGTGTGTGTGTGTGTGTGCTGTGTGTGTGTGTGTTGTGTGTGTGTGTGTGTGTGTGGTGTGTGTGTGTAGGCGGTCAAACACTTGCTTCAGTCACGGCCAGTTCCTACGATCCGGCTGCTAGGCCGCGTGTGGAATTAGTGCCCTGCTTGCTAAATAATTTAGCCTGTATAGCGCAATGACAACAACTAAACGTTCCAATCATGAACAATGTGGTCTACCAGAAGTTCTGACCACGCTAACGGGGCATGGACTCGTATAGTTAATACAGGAATCATGTGTGACGGCAGAAAACATAAGTGCCATAAATATAAGTTACGGGAGCCCAAAAACAATATGTTCTGCAGGCATTTTTGAGTGATGCTATATGAGGGCTCGATCCGGCTGTCAGCGGGCAGCAAATCGTGAACCAGACCAAACAGTGTCGTTCCCTCCTTGCGTGGTTGTATCGTAGTGGTTGGACGCTGCTGGCTTTAATCCAGGCTGTAAGCCTGCGGAGCGCTCCACATATAGCGCGCGAAGTGGACTGTTGTCCGGACAGCGCAGATTTCCACGCTGACCGACCCCCACCTGCTGATATTTTGCCCTGTCTTCTGTTGCAGCAAAGGTCGCCCAGAATGCACCATAGGCAGGCGTTGGGCCGTACAGTCGGCGTAGCTTTGCCTGGCAGAACTTCTCGCGAAACACAGCCAATGCGCTCGGGCGATACATTTGGACTTGTCACGATGCGGAATCTGTAGAAACTGGGCAGGCGTATCGGCCAACGCTACCGCCGCTCACCGTGTTCGGATCGATTTGGACCGCCATCGGTGAACCGTATGGTCTGACTGGTAATTCGAGGCGCTTACGGTTTGCTAGATCGACGGGCTTCACAAACTGGTTAATCGTAAGCTTGTGCTCTAGCTGACCGAATGGCGAGTCGGCCTACGACGGTGTTGAAATAAAGCGGATTACTCTCGCGGCGTCTGCTCTGCGACTTCGGCCAAGCAGAACGTGGTGCTCTCCCATCACGAGGCCATCTTTGAGGGAGGCCGACCTTGAAGCGCAGTGCTTTCGGCCGTGAGCACGGTGACACGGGTTGAATGAGGGATGCCGCCACAGGTGGGCGTTGGCTTCGTTTATACCGCAGAGCTGGCATGGCCACTGTTGCCAGCGGCCAAGACCGGGTCACCTAAATAACGAATTAAAACATTAAAACTTTTTTCTTCAATGTGTTCGAATGCATTCAATGTGGTAATTTCGGATGAAGAAAGTAATAAAAGATTTCTTGAATCGAGTTTTGACTTTTAATCATGAAAACAACGTCGTTGATAAGTCAGCAAATCCTTACGTATTAGGCCTTTATCTGTGCGCATCGTCATCAATCTCCTTAACGGAACTCAAACGGCAGCTATAATTTAAGCTTTCTTTCAGCCGATCATGTTTTGCTCTTGCATTTGCCAGATATGACAATATATAATAATATACAACGTTGTTTTCGGTGTACTATAATTTATTGTTTGCTGTTCTGTAATGTTGTCAATAACTGGTTAGTGATAAGGGCTTTAGTTTGCAAATATTAGTATATAAACTTAAGCCACGGGGGGGGTTGGATCATGGGGATTTGTTTTACGGCGACACACTTTAGTTTCCTATCAAGTATATATATATATATATTATTATATATTATATATATATATATATATATATAGGGCTGAGGCCAATATTTGGCCTCACTTTTAGGTAATTCATAAATTTTGGCTCACTAAGGTAAGTCAAAAGCTTTATCTTCACTCTATAGGTAACGCAAAAATATATACGTAGGACGATGGGCGTTCGGCTCGGTAACCCGGGCGTGACTAATTCGTTTTTGAGCGGCGTTGTCAGGGTAGGTCTAGCAGAGGAAGAACAAAGAACAAGATAAAGTTAGAAGTTATGTAAGACGGTCGAAGCTTGGCAAATGTTGACATGCCACGGCGTTAGTGTTCTCTCGGCTATACAGGGCGAGTAGATGTTGTGTCATGAAATTCGCGCTTACATAGGGCGCAGAGAGTTCTAGAGTTATAAACGCATTAAAATAGGCTGTGAAAGCGGAAAGGTCGCGCTGGCGCGCATGCGTGCGAATGCACAATGAGGTTGGTGGGCATTGTGGTCGGCGTCAAGAACTTATAGTCGGTTTGCCGGCCGCTATATGTCCTGATCATGAGACCTGGAAGAAAAAAAAAACCCGGGCCACAGCCGCACGTGCCCGCGGCACCAGACCCGAGGCGAGACCGACCAAAAGGCGAGAGCCACCCCCCACCCACCCCCCCCCCCCCCCGCCCCTGTTCCTTCCTCTCCCCCTTTGTTGCTTTGCCTCTGTGTTCCTTCTCTCGTTCGGCGAGCTGCTTTGCTTGGTTGGGCTCCGGGTCTGCCTACGTTGCGGGCTGTTCTTGCCTTCCGCTGGCGGCGCCGCGTTCCTTCGTTCGCTTTGGTGCCCTTTCCCCTTTGGTGCTCTCGCCTGCCCTCGCGTGTCCGTGCCCTCGGCTTTTTTTCGGCGGTTTCGAGGGCCGGGCGTCGCCTTCTGGCGTTCTTGTTTTGGATCTGGGGTCTCCTGTCCCCGGTCCCCGACGGTCCCCGGTCCCACTCCGCCTTTCCTGTCCCTTCCCTGTCCTCGCTCGTCGCTCGGCCTCTTTCCCCGCGCCCCTCGCCTCCCCGCTTCCACGTCCCCCCTCACCGTCGTTGTCCCTCGACTCTCTGACTCCTGCTCCCTCCTGTCGCTCTCCATCCGCCTCTCCTCCTGTTTCCTTGTCGTCCTCTCCCCTTCGCTGCCTCTTCCTTGTCCTTGCGGTGTCCCTGCTGCTTTTTCGTGCCTTGCCTCCCCGGCCGCCTGCCTGCCCTCGGCCCTGCCCTCGTCTGTGCCTGCCCGGGCCTGCCGCGGTTCCGCTGCCCCGTTCCCCGCGGGCCTGGCCTTGCCCTCTGCGCTGCCGCTGCGCTCCTCCCTCCGGCGCGCTTGGGCGGCGCCCTGGCGCTGTTGCGCTGGTTGGTTGGTGAGGTGGCGTCTTTGCTCCTCCCCCCCCGTTGGCCCTCTGTCGCGCTTCTCCGGTGGGTGACCGTTTGGTTTGGCTGTCTTCCCCGCGGGCCTCTGCGGTGCGTTCGGCGCTCGCTGCCGCTGGACGTGCCGTCGTCGGTGGGCCGTTTCTTCCGTTGTGGGCGGCTTCTTCATGGCTGGGTCGCGGCGCGTTCCGTGCCTGCCTCCGTGTCGTCCCCCTTTTGCTGTCGTCGCGCGGGCCCCCCGCCGCTGTCTTGCTGTGCGCTTTGCGTTGCGCCTGCCCGCGCCCCGCTCTCCCGCCTTGCTCGCCGCCCTGTCTCTCCATCCCCCGGCGGCTTGAGTGTTGGGGGCGTGTTTTCCTTTTCCGAGGGGTCGGCGCCCGCGTCTCGCCCGCCTGCCCGCGCATGGCCCCGCCCGCCGCTGGCTGCCCTTTGGGGCTCACCGCTCCAGGTTTTGTTTGCTGCTCCGGCCTCCCGCCTTGCCCCTTTGCCCTTTGCCTCTTCGCCATGCCGCGCCTCCTTGGCTGTCGGCGTTCCCGCCCGACGGCCGCCGCCGTGCTGTGTCCTCACTGCGGATGCCGGGTTGTCTTGGGCATCTTCTGCTGCCGCCTTCAGCACTGTGCCTAGCAGAGAGTGGTCGCCTCAGCATGTGAGCGAGCAGTCCAGGCTTGTTGACAAGCTGGATGTTGTGTGGAAGGGATAGCGCGGCTAGATGTCTGTTGAGCAGACTCTTGTTTCGTGCATTGTGAAGAATAGCTTGTCAGGCATGGAAAAGGGGTGTGTTTGAGTCAGGCGCGCACTTCCTTGGCCTCTCCTCTTCTCATCTGCCTTTGCGCTTGGAGCTTCTTTGGTTATATCTGTCAAACAGGACTGATTTCTTTGAGCGCCAGGGGGAAGTGGCCAGTCGAAGCACGCGAAAGCTTGCAGCCAGATTTCCTGCGGTCCCAGCGAACTGGGCCACACAACGTGTAGCAGGCAGTCTGACGCGGCGTCAACCAACACCACGTCTTGGAGCAGGTGGAGCTTGACGAAACACCGAGACCTTGACGAGCATACGGCACTGTTGCCCTTCCTCAAACATCCATACTCATCAATCAGGGATGTTGGGACTGGACTCAGTTCAAACTGGAAGATGTTGGATAGATCCACGCTCCGCTGCTGCCCCAAGACCAACAGCCGACTAAACAGTGTCTCGATGTCGTAGATGGCCTTCCCCTTGACAGTGACTGCCTTCTTGAGTGCCTCCATTGATCTGACCATTTTCTTTATGGTTTTGTAGAAGTCACTGCTTAGTGAAGCGAAGAACTGCTTGCTTTGCTCACTCCCGATAGTCAGTGCATCCTGAACATTCACTGTGTCGGGCGCCACTTGGCCATTGCAGATGTTATAGAGACCTGGATGCTGCTCGTTGAGGAGGTGAATGTACTTCTCCAGCTCTGCTGCGATCTTCTTCCGATCGACCTCATCCAGTCTTCTTCTTCCCTCTCCTTCCTCCTTGTGCTTGTTCTTCTCCTCTCTATCCACTCGACCACGTGGCTTCTCCTCATCCCCAGCTTCACGGTACATAATTATCTTCCATGGCGATGTCGAGGTGGGCACACACACTGAAACTGTTGACCCACACAGCCACTTGCTCGGCGCTCGTCGATATGCCCTTCATACCTCCAGCACCCTTCCTTCGCTTGATATATGTCTGTTCGCCGAACTGATCTGCTGGCACTGCGGTCCCGGCATCAGAATGCCGACAGACATGTGCGCCTGCCAGTAGGTTCTCCCGGGCACGCTGGGGGAGGTGCTCCATCTGTCGCACATACTAGCTTATGTAGCGGGTATAATTGTGGTGACCTGCTGCGAAGAAATACGGCAGCATTTCCTTGAGACCGTGCTGCTGGAGGAAAAAGTTACCATTCCGCTCTCCACGCAGGGACATGAGCGCCAGCAGTGTCGGCTTGATGAGACAGTCCACCAATAGCTTCCCGGTTAGGTTCTGTCTCCAGGTAGTCACTTAGCTCTTGGTATGTCTTGGAACCACTTGAGTAGAAACTCTGCAGCAACACGGCGATGATGAGACGGTATGCCCGTAGAGCCTTTGTTCAGGTCTTTCCGGTGATGATGCTGGTCATGCCACCAAACGCTGCGCTCATGAGAACGTCCACGCCAGATGCCTTCATCAGTGTCCCTATACAGCCCAGGAAACTCATGAGAGTGTGCATCATGCCCGGGTGAAGTATAAGGTTGGTCCAGCGCTGAGGGTCTTTCCATTGGACTAGGCATGCAGTCTGATATAGTTGGAGATCACCAGAGAGGTTGGTGTACTACATCCCGAAAGTTTTGAGAGTCCTCTCGAGATACAGGGGCGTAGTCAGAACGGTGTCTGGGTGAGCAGGTGNCGTGTGTCTGTACGTGTGGCGTGTGTCTGTACATCTCTGTGGCGTGTGTCTGTACATCTCTGTGGCGTGTGTCTGTACGTGTGGCGTGTGTCTGTACACCTCTGTGGCGTGTGTCTGTACGTGTGGCGTGTGTCTGTACACACACGCCACAGAGATAGGGTTCCACAGACAGAGAGGATGGATCATACATAATAGTAAGAGCACACATGAATACCGAGGAAATGGATCATGAACAATAGTAAAGCCATACGTATATCAATGGCAATGACAATAGATTATCATGTTTGATTACAAAAACCTGTCTATAACTGTGTGAGTATTCTATATGGAGACGATCCACACACACGCCACAGAGATGTACAGACACACGCCACACGTACAGACACACGCCACACGTACAGACACACGCAGAGATGTACACGACCGTTCTAATGCCTTGTGTTTCCCCGCACAGCCACACACATACCCTGCCTAGCTGGCAGGACCATAAGCTAGCGTCCTTTTATCACTTTTAGAGAACCATACGTTTGTCAGTTCAGTATGCGTTACCCTGTTTATTATTTGTCCGTAAAATACGTTTCATATACCTACTGGCCAAAACTCAATATTCCTCCTCCACTTATACCACCCATACCAGCATCCCAGCCCATCTATCATAGCGCTTATATGTGTGCGGGCTGGTATGCCGGTTTTTTTAAATTACGTTTTGCGCTGACGTGTCTCCGTTATATATCTACGTTATGGTATTATTTATATATTATAAATGTGCAACGAAGAAATACCGACCAAGCACAGTAGCGAGAGAGTTACATAATGAAATATTGGATCTCATTTCATGTGTGCAAACAATTTAGAGGCAGATTCACTGCGGCCTGAAAAGAAGACTGCTCATCGATACTAATTAAGTTTTTATTAGCGAGGTTTCATCGTGTGTGTGCGCCGCTGATGAAACATATACGTGACAGATGCACCGGCACCATAGTGGTTTTTATAATGTGCAATACGTGATCGATACTCGAAAACTGAATCAATACTCGTCAATGACAATGTAACCGACTGGAAACTGGAAACCTCATAGTGAGCGCGGCGCCGACTCCAATAGAATACATGATATATATATATATATATATATATATATATATATATATATATATATAATGCCCGCATCGTGCTGCCATGCGACCATTCATCTATTTCAGCTCGACCCGGGGAATCCAACATGGGGGTCATGCTGCTAGCACTCACTATCTCCCTGCTGGTCGCGTCCGGGTTCTGTCGGCAGCCGGGCCGTGTCGGCAGTGACGTCGTCGTCAGTGACCCGCGCGTGGTCACGTGGCTTCAGAAACGTGCTGTCTCCAATAGCATTGGTTACAATAGGAAGGATGACGATGAGAATATGAAGGAGTTGTGTGCGATGCTGTGTCCAGCCAACCAGGGAGGAAACCTGTGCTTATGCGACAGTCTGATCATCGGAAAAAGACGACGGGATACGAGGTAAGGAGGAGAAGAAGGAGGGATGAGCAGGAGGAGGAGGAGGAGGAGGAGGAGGAGGAGGAGGAGGAGGGAGGGAGGAGGAGGAGGAGAGAGGAGGGGGAAGGAGGAGGGAGGAGGGAAAGGACGACGGAAATGCCAGCGTAATGGCTTCCTATGGCTAGCCCGCACGGTACGCACGCCCACTTACGTACGCGTGCACACACACCACACACACCACACACACACACACACACAACACACACACCCCACAGCACGACAGCAACACACACACACACACACAACACACCACACACACCACATGCATTACAAGACAAACAACACAATCATTACACACTAGCGAGCGCAAGTACGCACGCACCCACGCACCATACACCTATACCACACACACACGTCGTTTCACGTGGTTTCCCGGTGACCCGCAATCGTTCATCGATCATCATCATCATCAATCATCATCGTCATCATCATCGTCGCATCCATCATCCGTCATCATTCTTTTAATTTTTGTCTATTGCGGCAAGTGCCACAATTTTTACAGCTGTTGCATTGCTCTCATGTTTCGCCAGTCACTCTGCCACGAGCTCCGTGACATTTTGGATGTGTGGTCGGGAGAACAATGAGAAAAGCGGCAGACTAGCGCACATGATGGCCACTTGTTACCAGGTTACGACGATGACGATGCCGATGACGATGATGGCGACAATGACGATGACGATGACGATGACGATTATGGCATCGATGACGGTGATGATGACTATTATATTTACAATTACGATCACGATTACGATGACGACGATGACGTTAATACTGACGATGACGGTGACGGTGACGATGACGGTGACGGTGACGATGACGGTGACGGTGACGTGGACGGTGACGGTGACGATGACTATGACGACGATGTTGACGATGATACGCGCATCACGGTAGAATCTTCACGCATCAAGCCATGATGACAGCTAGGCGGTTCCACAAATCTTCCCTCCGCGTCGCCACGATAGCAGAGACACCTATAATCAGGAGTTACTCGTGTCGACAGCATCGTATTGATTAGCTATGATCGATACACTGTGCATCGTATTGATTAGCTATTATCAATACACTGTGCATCATATTGATTAGCTATCTATCGATACACTGTGCATCGTATTGATTAGCTATTATCGATACACTATGCATCGTATTGATTAGCTATTATCGATACACTGTGCATCGTATTGATTGGCTATTATCGATACACTGGCGTTATGATGCAATCATCAATTACATAGTTGATTACCGAACTACCTGTTAACATCTTATCTATTTTATCTTATCAGTATCGTATTAATTAGCTATAAAATATAAGCGTGAAGATCGCGATCATTATCGATACACAATGATTATCAGGCTACCTGTTAACATCTTATCTATAGAGAATGGGTATTCTTGATTTGCTGTAAT